GAGGGAGAGATAAGACCCACCCACCAGAACGTCATGACATTGATAACCTAAACCTTTTGAGCGTTCCACACAAATTAGCTATAAAATATTGAGCCCTATTCAGTTAAAGTGGCATAAATCTCAACAGAGCTCAAAACTTTCTAGTTTGGTCAACTCCATAACAACATTTGAGTGTTGTGACCTTATTAGTTATGAGCTAGTACAACTGTTAGGGATTACAGTGCATGAAATACTTTGACAGTCACAAAATGTCCTATAACAGTTAAAAGCATCCTTAAATCAAAGTACACGCATGATTAGAAAACTAAGCTTGCCTATTGTCTATTTTAAAAAACAAAACACACACAGACACATACAAATAATGGTACAATCAAAAACACACACACAAACATGGGCAAAACCGTTATCTGCACCACTCTGCAGCATAATAACTGAACTCTAGACTGTGCTTAGTACTTTATTACCAACGTCCACCCACATGGGCAGCCACTCCTACGTATTTGATTTAATCTGCTGGAGTACATTTTGAAATCAATAAAGACAGATTTGGATCAGTTTTATGTTAATAATTATACAGTAAATTATAATTGTGGTTTTTAGACTTGAACAATTGCCTAGGGTTTTCTTCTGTTAGAAGATAACCATATCCCTAAGGCCTCCTTCGGGATTTGGTCTGGGCATGTCAAACTGGGAGGAGACCCTGGGGATGATCCAGGCCACTCAGGAGGGACTTTAGCTGCGTCTCAGTTCATGAGTTGCATACGTCACTGTGCCGAGGACTGTCCCAATCTGAAGACTCCTCCTTATTCAGCTGAGGAATGCGGCCCACAAACTCTCCAAAACCCGAGGATGCATCTGTGTATCCTGAGGCTGAGGATATCCCAGGATTCAATGCACAGACAGCAAAAAACACAGAGAAATGAAGATAATGGAATTTTATTTTATTTTTAATGAGTCAGCCTAGTTTGAAAATTACGGAGCCTCGAAGGGATATGGGGGTATTTTTTTTCTTTTGCATTCCCACACAATACCTTTGCGTTCCCTCGCAATAATTTTGCGTTACCTCACAATATTGTTTTGCGTTCCCTCGCAATAATTTTGTTACCTCGCAATACCTTTGCGTTCCCTCGCAATACTTTTGTGTTACCTCGCAATACCTTTGCGTTCCCTCGCAATACTTTTGTGTTACCTCGCAATATTGTTTTGCGTTCCCTCGCAATAATTTTGTGTTACCTCGCAATACCTTTGCGTTCCCTCACAATACTTTTGTGTTACCTCGCAATATTGTTTTGCGTTGCCACGCAAAAGTTTGATTTGTATATGAACTAAATTAAATCAGACTTTTATTTTGAAATATCCGGTTACCAAAACAAGATGTGTCGCCACAAGTTCGTGAAATTGACATTGATGTTGCGTGGCTGCACTGTGTTACGTCCATGCGTGGCTGTGTGATATGTTCATTCTGAAGCTGAATTAAAGCAGTAGGCTAACTTGCTAATGGTGAACATGTGAGCTTGTTAATAAACCAGCAGACACAACAGTGATAACGACTTTTGCAAGGGAATGCAAAAGGTATTGCTAGGTAATGCAATACTTATGCGTGGGAACGCAAAAAGAAAAAAAATCCCCCATGTCCCCTCGCGGACTCAGTAAAAAATTCATCACAGACCGAATAATTTATTTTAAAAGTGCGTTTAGCAACTTAGCTGAGGAAATTTATGCTGCAATAAGATGTTAAATAAAATAATGCAACTACAAGTGCTAATACTGGAGCTAAACCCCTATTATTACTGATGTTTTTTTATTTATTTAAGTGTAGCATTTTATTTGTGAAGTTATTCTTCCAGTGAAAAGACGTGTAAACAAATGTCCCGACACATGTTCAGTCTGATATGAAACTGATCACTGTGGTAACGGAGTAACGCGTGGTCACACAAACTTATGTCAAGCCAAGGCTAGTGCGTCTCATTTCACAGCAGTTTGAAGCAGCCTACCTGGACTGGAAAGGACATGGCCCAGGTGGACCAGGTAGGCTACGTGCTCATGAGGGCCCAGCCCATGAATTGAGACACAGCCTATATCTCTCAGCTGGCCTGGGAAAAGAATCAGTACAGACAGAGCATCTTATTGACACATGAAGTTGAAACTGAACTCATCACCTGTTCTGGAGCAGCAGGTGATGTCCATCATAGGACCATGTGACGATAAGCAAGAAAACCATTACCAGTTACCAACTAAACATGAATGTTTTTGGTCAGTGAGAGGAAACTGAAGTACCACTTTCCTGTAGCATTCATATGGACTATGACTACTCGATATTACTATCTTGATTTTCTGTGGATTATCAGTCATCCAGGACTTTTTTTTACATCCTACAGTCTTTGAGACGTAAAATAAATTTGAAGATGAGTGTTTGCAAAAACACTTGCCAGTCTCTTGACTGGCCTAGGAGTGCCTTGGAATCCTAGGAGGGGGCTGAAAGAGAGGTCTGTGTGTGTGTGTGTGTGTGTGTGTAAAGCTGGTGTTGTCTGCAGACAGTGGTGAAGAGGAGAAGGGAGCAGCTCAACATGACCTCAGGCTCTGAGACATAAAACAACTTCAAAGCTGCTGAGTTTTTGATTTAAAAAAGTGAGATTTTCATCTGTTTTCATGATGCAAATAATGACATTTTATGTAATTTACAGACAATCAGTACAAGGTGACAACATTAGTGTGTTGAAAGTGAACTTATCTTAGGATTTTCACAGTTTTATCTTGACATTTCTCCAACAATATTCTTGAAGATGAAATCTGAGGCAGTGATTGGTTCATGTCGGGGTTTTTTCTAACCAGGATCAGCTTTGTGGCACAGCCAGGTGTCACAAATCAGCTCTGAGACTGACACTTAAGAATTACTCCTACATTTCACTTAAAGTAAGACTGACACTTAAGAATTACTCCTACGCTTCACTTGAAGTAAGACTGATACTTAAGAATTACTCCTACACTTCATTTAAAGTAAGACTGATACTTAAGAATTACTCCTACACTTCACTTACAGA